CAGCGAGGCTGAAGGATCTATCGACATACCAAACTCAGTTTTATTTTTATATACTAGCAATGAACAATCTGAAAGAGAATTTAAGGGAATAATTCCATGTGCAACAATATCAAAAACGATAAAATGCTTTGGAATAAAGTTAACGAATTCTGGTTTTGTTTTTATGATTTTTTTAATGTTTATTTATTTTTGAGAGAGAGGGAGGGAGCTTGTGCAAGCGGGGGGGGAGGGATAGAAAGAGGGGGAGGCAAAATCCCAAGCAGCCTCAGTGCTGCCAGCACAGGGCTCAACGTGGGGCTCGAACCCATGAACCGTGAGATCATGACCTGAGCCGAAACCAAGAGTTGGACGTGTAACTGACTGAGCCACCCAGGTGCCCCTAATAAATACTTTTAATGGTGTGAGACCTGTACACTGAAAACTACAAAATATCACCGAAAGAAATTAAAAACCTAAATATAATGCAAAGACATCCCATGTTCATGGATTGAAAGACTTACTATTGTTAAGATGGTAATGCTCCCCAAATTAATGCATAGATTCAATGCAATCCCTAAAATAAATCCCAGCTGCCTGTTTGTTTGTTTTGCAGAAATGGCATGTTCCACTTCTGGGTGTATACCCCCAAAAATTGAAAGCAAGATCTCAAAGGGATGTTTCCACACCTCGGTTCATAGCAGCATTTCTCACAACAGCTACAACACAGAAGTCATCCAGTATCCACTGATGGAAGAATGAATAAGCAAAATGTGGTGTGTCGATACAATGGAATATGATCCGGCCTTAAAAATGAAGGAAATTCACAGGGGCGCCTGGGTGGCTCAGTCGGTTGAGCGTCCGACTTCGGCTCAGGTCATGATCTCACGGTCCGTGAGTTCAAGCCCCGCGTCGGGCTCTGTGCTGACAGCTCGGAGCCTGGAGCCTGCTTCCGATTCTGTGTCTCCCTCTCTCTCTGACCCTCCCCCGTTCATGCTCTGTCTCTCTCTGTCTCAAAAATAAATAAACGTTAAAAAAAAAATTTAAAAAAAAAAATGAAGGAAATTCTGACATATACAACAGGGATGAACCTTGAGGACACCACGCCGAGTGAAATGAATAAAGCAGTCACAAAAAAAAAAAAACAAACACCATATGATTCCATTTCTATAAGGCACTGGAAGAGTCGAAATCATAAAGCCAGGAAGTAGAACGATGGTTTTCAGAAGCTGGGGGGACAGGGCAAGTGGGGAGTTATTGTTTAATGGGTATAGAGTTTCCGTTTTACCAGATAAAAAGAATTATGGAAAATACACGGCAGGGACAGTTGCATAACAATTTGCATATATTTAACACCGCTGAACCCTGCACCTAAAATTGGTTAAGACGGTGAACTTTAGGTTAACTATATTGTACTACAATAAAAAAAAAAAATAGTTAAGCACAGAGTCACCACGTGATCCAACATCCCACTCCTGAGGGGGTGCCTAAGAGAACCGGAAACATGTCCACACAGAAACCTGTCCACAAATGTCCCCAGTAGCATGATTCACAACGGGCAAAAACAGAAACTCAAGTGTCCACCACCTAATGAATGAATAAACAAACGGGCACATCCACACAAGGGAATATCACTCAGCCATAAAAACAAAGGAAGCCCTACAGGGTACAGCATCGACGAACCTTGGAGGCATTGTGCCAAAGGAAAGAAGCCATTTGCCAAAGGCCACCTGTTGTGTGGTCCCATTTATATGAAATACCAAGATCAGGCAAATCCACGGAGATCGGTGGTTGCCATGGCAAGTGGGAAACGACTGCTAATTGGCACAGTTCCTTTCTAGGTAATGACAATGTTCTAAAATTGACCGTGGTGATAGTTTTGTGCAACATACGTCTTGTGTGCCGCCGTACTATAACCCACGGAACTACTTTTAAAGGAGGACTTGAGAGGCATGTGAATTATTTTTCAACAGAGCTGTTATTAAAAAAAAAAGGGGGGGTGCCTGGGTGGCTCAGTCGGTTAAGCGTCCGACTTTGGCTCAGGTCACGATCTCACGGTCCGTGAGTTCGAGCCCCGCGTCGGGCTCTGTGCTGACAGCCCGGAGCCTGGAGCCTGTTTCAGATTCTGTGTCTCCCTCTCTCTCTGCCCCTCCCCCGTTCATGCTCTGTCTCTCTGTCTCAAAAGTAAATAAACATTAAAAAAATAATTAAAAAAAAAAAAAAAAGACCTGAGCTGAGATCAAGAGCTGGACACTTAACTGACTGAGCCACCCAGGTGCCCCAAAAGCATTCCTTTTAATTAAAGTCAAGAACAATATATAAGGATCCCTGCAATCATTAACAACTCCCTAAAGTACTCAGACCTGTTTTTAGGCACAAAGGAGGCTAGAAATTCTGAGTCACATACCCAAATCCCACCTTCTGAGGAAAGGGACAAGTTGTCCTTTCCTGTGAGCGATCTCTCGGCCAGGAATGTGCCGGAATTATAACCCTGACGATGCCGGGAGGTGGTGCTCTGGCCCCCTCTGATGGGTGAGGCTCAGAGAGAGTAGGGAAGTCGCCCAGGCCACACAGCTCATTGATATACAAAGGGAGAGGCTATCCGGGGCCTCCGTATGAAACAGGTGATGGCAGCAACATTACTGACAGTTCACCATGTGCTGGGATCCTCTAATCCTCCCCGTGACCCCAGGAAGCAGATACTCTCATCACCCTGCTTTACAGGTGCAGAAACTGAGGGAAATGAAACATCTTGTCCAAGGTCACTCCGCAGACTGAGCATCAGAACCCACGGAGCCCCCCGAAAGTAAGCTCGGCGTTTGTACCAGGTCTGTGTTAAATATTCATGCACGTCACGCATTTTTCTCAATCTGGTTGCATCTGTCTTAATAAGCAAAAACTGCTTGCTCCCTACTCCCAGCAAATCCTCAAATAAACTGACCTTCCAGGGGAACCTGGGTGGCTCAGTCGGTTAAGCATCTGACTCTTGATTTGGGCTCAGGTCACGATCTCATGGTCCGTGAGTTCGAGCCCCGCCTCGGGCTCTGTGCTGACAGCTCGGAGCCTGGAGCCCGCTTCGGGTTCTGTGTCTCCCTCTCTCTCTGCCCCTCCCCTGCTCATGCTCTGTCTCTCTCTGTCTCAAAAATAAACAAAAACATTGAGAAAAAAAAAAAGGATACTGTCACCTCCACTGTCTATGAAGAACTGGACAGAGAAGGCGCGTTCATCTTCAGCCCTCGGGGGGTTTCTTGTCCCCATACTTCCGAATCCCACATCGCTCCCCAAAGCGCCCACTGAGACTTTCACTTCTCCTTCATGTCTTTCCTGGGCACATACTCTGAACCCAACCTTGACCAAAACGCCCAGGGGGACATCTCAGCAGAACCCATAATCCCTCCTCCCAGAGTCCCCACACCTGCCCGGTGGTTTCCCGTATCCAGGCCTCTGACCACACCAGTCCCTCCACCTGGCATGCTTTCCCCGCCTCCCACATCCTACCTACCCTCAAGCTCATCTTAAAGATCTCCCTCCTCATGCGGCCTTCCCTGAGCCTTTCCTCTCCCACGACGGAAGGGACCAACCCTCCTCCAGGTCTTTTGGGACACACCCCGACCCACTTTGCAACAGAAGCACTCCTGCATATTTTGAAGTCCTCAGGGGCGGGATTCGTACCCGATTGTTCTGAGTCCCCGCACAGAGCAACACCTTGCACGCAGCAGGCAGGCAATAAACATTTCAAGAGTGAATGACTCAAAGATTCACCCCGTGCTCCCACTAACCACAGCCACGAGTGCTCTGGGGGCAGAACTGAGTGGTGAATCACAGAGGAGGAGACACAGCCTTGGGAGCACAGAGGGGGCGCCCTGGTCGGCAGCGTCCTGCGAGGCCAGCCTCATTTTTCATTTGTCCGTCCTCTGCCTCGTGTCCGATCGTGCCACCCCTGTGCCACCTTGCTGCAGTCACCTAGTTTCACGGGCTTTCGGGACAAAGTCTGGCCGTGGGTCTGCTCCTAATCTTCCACGCCTGGTGCTGAGCCACGGCAAGCTGGTGCGCCCCTCCTGCCCTGGAAAGAAAACATCATCTGGTCGCACCCTGAGCTCCGTGTCAACTTTCCTTCCTTTTTGACCGAAGATGAACAAGTGTTATCTCAGGGTGGGACGTTCCATCTGGAGGATGTCACAGACAGAAGGGACACCTCCTTTCCACTCAGCTTGCCGTGGCTCACAAGCGGTGGCCTCGCCTAAGGCCTATTACAAATGCAGGTTATCGTATCGACGTGTACCAGGTTTTTCGGGGTGGCCCCGTGTGAGTTCCCGGCCCCGGGAGCCCACGACAGGAGGGGGTAAGGCCCTCTTGACAACCCTCCTCATCCCCCCCGCCCCCCCCCCCCCACCCGGCCAGGCCTGGCCTGAGCCTCCCACAAGTGATAAGGACAACGGCAAGGCCACACACGAGGTGACTCCGCCCCTGGCCTGCTCTCAAGCACCCAAGGGAGGGTCCCAAAGACACCTTCTACCCGGTCAGGTGCCATTGGCTTCTTCTCTTCAGCTAGAAAGTGTAATCTCAATAATGACTTCCCGATACAATACAGATGTCACAGGGAGGGGTTACAACCCAGACAGTTTCAGGACCACTTCTGTTTCCAGGTGCCACGGAGGTGGGGAAACAGGAAGTTCTACTTCCCCGAGGGAGTCGGGGAGGGCCTTCTCGAAGAGAACGGGCCGGGGGCAGTCGGTTGAACCCCCGAGTCTCGATTTCAGCTCAGGTCCTGATCTCAACGGTTCATGAGATCGAGCCCCACATCAGGCTCTGCACTCGGGATTCTCCGCCTCCCTCTCTCTCCGCCCCGCCCCTGCTTGCTCTCACCCTCAGGATAAATAGATCAACCTAAACAAAAATGTTTTAATGAAAATAAAAAGAGAATAGGCCTACACAGAACAGACTGGCTGAAGACAGAATAGTCACTCCGGTGCAGACACCATGCCTGGCCTCCGCCTGGAACTCACCGGAACCAGAGCACATACCTGGGGCACCTGGTCGATGCGAAACAGCCGGGGGAGCTTCAGGCTCAGCATCTTGAGGCTGTGACAACTGCTCTCTGTCACCTGCTCAAAGTTCTGACATGGCCCGGGGTGCCTCTGGCCAGCAGCCGGTGCCCAGGATGCTCCCCTGAAAGAGGCCAGCGTGAAGAAATCCGGTCAGCCCCCGCCTAACTCCAGCTGGATCAAGACCGTCAGGCTTTGAACCACGGAACAAAAACTTGCCTGTCATGGCAAAATCATCAGGCTTCCTTAAAACCAGCCACAAAAATATCAGACCGCTGAGTCATTTATTCCAAGAGCGCTGGAGGGAGGTCATTAAATCATAATATGGGCAATCATAACATTGTAGAGCTGGAAGGGCCGTGGAGGCCACCCGGTCCCCTTGTGTTGCACATCAGGGTCAGAGGGGTGGGGTGACTTTCCCAAGGCTGCACAGCGAGGGGAGAGCTGGAAAGGCTGACTCTCCACTGCGTCGGGTGCTGCCCTTGGACGGACAGCGTGATCCCAAGTCTGGGTCCCCCCAGTGGGCAGAGGAAGGCAGGAGTCGGGCCCCGGGTCACCCAAGGAGAAGCAGCTCTTCCAGAAGGCTCCCGGGAGCGTGGCTGCCCCATGACACATAAAAGAACCAGACAGGCCAATCGGAGGCACTTGTGGGAGACAGAGCAAGTCCCAGTAACAAGGCCGTTTAAATGCAGGATGAAGGCTGCTTAACAGCTGCGAGTAAGAGGAATCCAGGCCTAAGAAACAGAAGCATCCAAGCTGGGCTTAGCCAAGAAAGGGCGGCGCTAGGAGTTTAGTTAACGCCTCTCCTGCCCCCATTATCGCTGGGTGGAAATCTGCCACCTCCTTAAAGCTCCCCCAGAGGAATTCTGTCCTTCCCCCTGAAGGTCCAGAGACCTTTCCTGCACCTCCCTCGTGTGGCACCAACCTCGTCCGCCTGCAAGCAAAGCCACCTGCCCAGGTGTCTGGGGAGGACCCTCCCGGGATGGTTGGCAACTCAGCAGGTACTGCCAGGTCGTCCTGGGCCTTCAGCAAATGCTTCTTTCACACCATTCGTCCCAGCAGTGCCGCTCGCGCTCGGGACGGAAGTGTATTTTGGTTTCTGTAGCTTATACTTTTGCTCCCTACTGTGTAGTCCTTTACGTTCTATGTGTTCTTATCTGGGACTATGGTGCAACACACAATGTATGTTTCATCGTCATAAAGTTGCTTCTTTTCCTTTCTTTTGTTTTTTTTTTTTAATGTATCAGTTTTATTATTTTTTAACGTTTATTTATTTTTGAGACAGAGAGAGACAGAGCATGAACGGGGCAGGGTCAGAGAGAGGGAGACACAGAATCTGAAACAGGCTCCAGGCTCTGAGCTGTCAGCACAGAGCCCGATGCGGGGCTCGAACTCACGGACTGCGAGATCATGACCTGAGCCGAAGTCGGCTGCTTAACTGACTGAGCCACCCAGGTGCCCCATGTTGCTTCTTTTTCAAAAACACTGATGTAAGGGGTGCCTGGGTGGCTCAGTCTGTTAAGCACCCACCTTCAGCTCAGGTCATGATCTCACAGTTCGTGAGTTCAAGCCCCGCGACGGGCTCTGTGCTGACAGCTCGGAGCCTGGAGCCTGCTTTGGTTTCTGTGTCTCCCTCTCTTTGTCCCTCCCCAACTCGTGCTCTGTCTCTCAAGAATAAACATTAGGGGCACCTGGGTGGCTCAGTCGGTTGAGCGTCCGACTTCGGCTCAGGTCATGATCTCGCAGTCTGTGGGTTCGAGCCCCGCGTCGGGCTCTGTGCTGACAGCTCAGAGCCTGGAGCCTGCTTCGGATTCTGTGTCTCCCTGTCTCTGCCCCTCCCCCACTCATGCTCTGTCTCTATCAAAAATAAATATTAAAAAAAAATTTAAAAAAAGAATAAACGTTAAAAAAAACTTTAAAAAAAGAAAGGAATGCCATTCTGCTCCATGTTTCAATATGAGTGAAACTTGAAAACATCACACCAAAGTAAATAAGCCACTCACAAAAAGACAGATATTGTACAGTTCCCCTCATGCAAGGCACCTCGAGTGAGCCAACTCACACAAAGTGTAGATTAGAGGCCATGTGGGGAGAGGAATGGGGTATTGTTTAATGGGTACTGAGTTTCCGTTTGGGATGATAGAAAGTTCTGGAAACAGGTAGTGGTGATGGTTGCACAACATTCTGAATGTAATGTCACTGAAATATGCACTTAAAAATGGACAGAACGGTCAGTTTCATGTTGTGCATATTTTACCACAGTAAAAACTTACGTAATGTTTCCACATTACCGAATAATAAAGAAAATGCTTTTTTGAGAAAATAATTTTTTAAAGCACAGGTACATTTTACCCAGGTTTAAAAAATAAAAGTTAATACTTTTTAAGTGTATTTATTTTATTTTTTTATGTTTATTTATTTCGAGAGAGACAGAGAGATAGCACGAGTGGGGGAGGGGCAGAGAGAGAGAGGGGGACACAGAATCCGAAGCGGGCTCCAGGCTCTGAGCTGTCAGCACAGAGCCCGACGTGGGGCTCGAACTCACAGACCGCGAGACCATGACCGGAGCAGAAGTCGGACGCTCAACTGACTAAGCCACCAGTCGCCCCAGTTTATTTATTTTGAGAAAGAGAGAGAGTGCAAGTGGGGGCGAGGGGCAATCCCAAGCTGTCAGCGCAGAGACTGACCCGGGACTCAATCCCACAAACGGTGAGATCATGACCTGAGCCGAAATCAAGAGTCAGGACGTGTAACTGACGGAGCCACCCAGTCTCCTCTCCCCCCAGATTAGTACTTTGCAAACAACATCGTGAGCAGGCCACGGTTCTCTCGGTTTTGCAGGCCTAAATCAACAAGACTCCCACACTCCCGGAAGCACCATGAATTCACCCAGTGGCAGGACACGAACGGAAGGTCCAGTACTGGGGGGACCCCAAGCACACCAGGAAAGCCTCCACAGACCTGCCCATCTCGGTCCTCCAGTTCTCCCTAGAGTAGCCTCAATGTCACGGGCAAGAAAAGGAAAAGAAACGGTCCCTTCCCGCCCAGCACACACCATCCAGGTAGGATGACCAGACTAAACTTCCAACATCGGCAATAATCATAGTACCGCAATCACCAATTTCTTCCTTCAGTCACCGCTTACTGCACGTAAGTAAGGGGAAGGCTAAATGCCTAGGTGCTTATTCTCCGTCGGCTGTTACAGCCTGAAGGAAAAGCTGAGACTTTAGGGAACGTAAAAATCGTATAGGTTTGTGACATGCAGAATAGAGGAGGGTAGGCATCCTCCGTACGTTCTCTTCTTTTACTGCACAGGGGAACAAAAAGATTAGTAAGAGAGTCACTGTCCCCAAGAAACGTATAAAGAGAGAGATGAGACGGATAAGCACCCAACTGGCTGGCAAAAGTCGCCCTGAGAAGGAGGGAAACTCTTACCCACTCTGCACCAAGCCCGTGCTGGTCCCCTGCCTCATTTATCCTCACCATGGCCGTCTCAGGAGGCGAGGCAGAGTGGATAAGGGCCTGGGTGGAAAGGAAATAAGGAAAATAAGCTAGTCACCAAAGGCCACTAGCGTTCAAAGGCTCATTCGCCATTTCCTGTGCAACCCTGGGCAAGGAACTTAACTCCTGTGCCTCAGTTTCCCTATCTGTAAAATGGAAGTAACAGTAGCACTTTCTTCATGGGGGTGTCATTATAATTAAAAAAGAGAACTAAGGCACCTGGGTGGCTTAGTCCATTAAGCATCTGACTCTTTTAAAAAAAAATTTTTTTTAATGTTTATTTATTTTTGAGACAGAGAGAGACAGAGCATGAACGGGGGAGGGTCAGAGAGAGACGGAGACACAGAATCGGAAGCAGGCTCCAGGCTCTGAGCCGTCAGCACAGAGCCGGACGCGGGGCTCGAACTCACGGGCTGTGAGATCGTGACCTGAGCCGAAGTCGGACGCTTAACCGACTGAGCCACCCAGGCGCCCCTCATTTTGTATTTTATAGGCAGGAAAATGGAAGGGTAGAATAGCTATGGGGCTTTCCCAAGATCACACAGCTGGTAGCTGGTAGAACTCGGATTTGAATCAAGGTTATTCGAAGCCCTAGGACTTAATTTCCCTTTGCTACTGAGAGACGATGGAAAATAGAGTGTTTATGATGATGTTGATGACCTAGAGGCTGGACGATGGCCATTCCTGTCTGTTGATCAGGTTGAGACAATCTCTCAGGTAAGACTTGACCTGGCTCTTTCAAAAGCGGGAGATTTCTCATGCCATGTTTTTCTGGCAAGGAAATAAGAACTCTTCCGGTAAAACATTGCCATGTTGCACCTGAAACGTAAACTTTTATGTTTGCCGAAAATGGCGAAACATCCCTGGATGGTCACGGGAAGTCCTAAAGCATGGCTGATGCTTCAAATGTTGTGGCCGTTGTTAATTACTGCAGATGCAATTGAACAGAAAATGAACTCACTGGTCTCTGGAGCCACTTTCCATCATAAGCCAAGCTCCCAATTTCACCAACACCATAAAAACCAGAACGTAGGGGCGCTTGGGTGGCTCAGGTCTTGATCTCACAGGCTCAGGTCATGATCTCACAGTTCCTGGATGGAGCCTCGTGTCTGTGCTCAGCATGGAGCCTGATAACGATTCTCTGTCTCCCTCTGCCCCTGTCCCCCACTCACACTCGCTCTAAAAAACTTTTTTAAATTAAAAAAATGAATATATTGGGAGGGACTCTAATACGCCTGACCACATTAATAGATTAATGTTAGAGACCGATTGTGTACTAGTTCATTGATATGCCCAGAAGTTCATTGATATCCCCAGAAGTTACACATGTTTTGGACCCTCTTAGAGGGAAAACAGTCCATCGATTTATATTCAGCCATCTTACACGTAGACATATTTGGGAGGTTACAGGTTTGCTGGCTGAGTCCTCAAGGCCTGTGTAGGATGCACAGTATGTAGCATAAAGTTTCCAGGGGGGAAGGACCTTCAGGAATATGGGCGGAGCACTAGCCTGATAGAGATGAGGCAGTCAGGTTCAAATTTCACCTCGCATTAATTTTGTTTGCTCTGGACCTGAGCGGACTAGCCTGAAATCTGATGGTGATCTCGTGATGATTTGCCTTTTTAAAACAAACAGAACAAACAAAAAACAACCAGGGGCACCTGGGTGGCTCAGTCGGTTAAATGTCCGACTTCATTCGGCTCAGGTCATGATCTCACAGTCTGTGAGTTCGAGCCCCGCGTCGGGCTCCGTGCTGACAGCTCGGAGCCTGGAGCCTGCTTTGGATTCTGTGTCTCCCTCTCTCTCTGCCCCTCCCCCGCTCACACTCTGTCTCTCTCTCTCTCAAAAATAAAATAAAAACATAAAAATATTTTTAAAAAGCAACCATTTTTTTAGGGCTGTTTCAGGAAAAGTCGGCAGATCTTTGAGAGTGTGTTATAGCCCGTCCCCCGCTTTTTTAGTTGTTTTAAAACCTTTTAGCTGTGGAACCCTCACGTAAATGAAATCTCACATAGAACACCAATATACTGTCGACATATGGGCAAAACTTGACATTGTGCCTCGATTTCGGAACGATCCGAAGCCTTTTGGTTTTCTTCAATCTTGGTTTTAGGTCTCTGAAGAAAGAGACAACGAACCAAGCTGCTGTTTGAAATACTGGAAATTATATTATTTTTAAAAAAAAATTTTTTTTTTTCAACATTTATTTATTTTTGGGACAGAGAGAGACAGAGCATGAACGGGGGAGGGGCAGAGAGAGGGAGACACAGAATCGGAAACAGGCTCCAGGCTCTGAGCCATCCGCCCAGAGCCCGACGCGGGGCTCGAACTCACGGACCGCGAGATCGTGACCTGGCTGAAGTCGGCCGCTTAACCGACTGCGCCACCCAGGCGCCCCTATATTATTTTTTTTTTAATGTTTATTTAGTTTGAGAGAGACCGAGAGAGAGAGAGTGGGGAGGGTCAGAGAGAGAGGGAGAGAGAATCCCAAGCAGGCTCCACACCATCAGTGCAGAGCCCCACTTGGGGCTCGTCTCTGGAACCTCGAGATCATGACCTGAGCCGAAGTCAAGAGTCAGACGCTCCACCGACTGAGCCGCCCAGGCGCCCCCCAACGTAATAATTTTAAAATACTGCTTTTCCACTCACATTTCACGGAAGTACGCACATTCAAAGTCTTCGTATGCATCTTCAACGACAGTAGCCTCGTAACTACAGCCACTTTTTGGAATGACTAACACAGCTGACGCGCAAAACCTTCTCATTTTCCTCTGGGTGACTGGAAGTCTGTGCTCTGAGAAGCTGCGTTTCATGCCGCTGCTACAAAATGTATCCTAAATCGGAAGTATTCATTTGCTGGTATTATGCTGCCTGTGATTTGCTTTCAAACGCTTCGCACAGACAGTGTGATATGGAAATGTTAGTTTTAACCCACACCCCTGGGGTGGCAATTAATTAGCATCTTGAACCACTCACACTTCAGAGGCCACACCTTTGGTGCAAATGGGGCTTTTTCCCATCCACCTAAGAGGGTTTGTGACTTAGCGCTAAGGGGTGCTGTTTAATTGGAGAAACGAATGGAATAGAGACCTGGGAGCTGATGAGAGGCACTGCCCAGGTGCCCCCCCTCTTGCACGAGCGAAGACAGCGACAGGTGAGCCCAGTAGGGAGGATTTGGGGGCCAAAAACCGGCAAGAAGTCCGGCTGACGCAGGCCCCCAGACACATTTGCACGAACTTGGCTCACACGTTCAGAAAAGTGCGCAGAAGCGTTCCTAAAAGGGCAGATTGCTGGCACTTCACCTGCCTGCAGAAACAGGCCATCCTACTGCTTTGCACCCGCTGAAAAATATGCGGATGGCGGCAGAACTCAGCCACAAGACTCTCACTGAGCCAGGCCACCTGGCCATGAGGTTGGGGGGGGGATCCCCTGGCTCTCAGGTACTTCTAAATACTGATAGAGCCCAAGACCGTATCTCAACACACTCAGACGCTCTCCGCTGGCAGTCACACGACTGTTTTGGGTACTAGTAAGACGGGGAAAAAAATGCTGCCAATCACAATCAGGGGATGACGTCACTGATTGGAAAGGATTCCCGATTTCAGAGCTTGTAAGAAAACAAGGGGCGCCTGGGTGGCTCAGTCGGTTGAGCAACGGATTTCAGATCAGGCCATGATCTCAGGATTCATGAGCTCCAAGCCCCGTATGGGGCTCTCTTCGGTCAGTGTGGAGCCCACTCTCCCCCACTCTCTCTCTTGCAAAAGTAAACATTTACAACAATACGTAGGAATTGATGACATACAGAAATTATAAACGAGCAATTGGATTGGCTAAGTTTGCAGTGGCTACTCTCTCCATCTTCCTACTCTGCTCTTTAAAGGGATCGTTAAAGTCTCCTTTATAACAAGGGGCACCTGGGTGGCTCGGTCAGTTAAGCGTCAGACTCTCGGTTTCAGCTCAGGCCATGAGCTCACGGTTTCATGAGTTCGAGCCCCACGTCAGGCTCTGCAGTGATAGTGCGGAGCCTGCTGGGGATTCTCTCTCTCTCTCTCTCTCTCTCTCTGCCCCTACCCTGCTCATCTCCGTCTCCCTCAAAAATAAGTAAATAGACTTTAAAAAAAAATTAAAGTCTCCTTTATAACAAAACCAGTTCTTACAAGTGGGAGACCATGTACCTGGGAATAAATCTCAATCTGTATTACATTGTTTTTCTTCTGCCTCTCTTTCTCTGTCTCTTTGATTGTGTGTGTCAGGTGCCTTCTGGAAGGATCCCAAACAAGCATGGATGGGGAGAGTTTCAGGTTACAGTGTCTTTCCCAAACAGCCCATACAGCCAGGCCATTGTTCAAAACTAAGGGAATGCAGTGGCCCCGAATATGAAAAGCTCTGGATGGACCCAACTGTTATGCCATTTCCTCTTTTCTGAAAAAAAAAAAAAAATTATGCTGGAAAACAAAAAACTCATAGTTGGGCATATGTAGCAAAAACAAAGAAGGCTGTTTGGTGGGGAATTTTTCCCATGCTTGCTTTAGAAAACTAGAAACATGAGATCAGGAGGCTCCTGAGGTCTCTAATCCAAGTTGCCCCTGGATGCATGAATTTCATCAATGGGATTTTGGACAAGAGGTCCCATACTTGACCCAAAGAAGCAACGTTAACAGAAGGAGTTCAGGTTTCATGAGAAGCCAGTGGGGGAACCTGGAGACAGGACAGGCGTTTTTACCTTTAAAAATGCATGTGAAAATTAGCTTTTTTCATGTGCCTCAAAGGCTACTGTCAACAGAGTGAAAAACAGAATGGGAGAAAATATATAAACCACATATCTGATGAGATTAATATCCAGAATACATAAAGAACTACAAGTCAGTAACAACAAAAATAACCCAAGTCAAAAATGGGCAAAGGACTTGAATAGACATTTCTCAAAAAAAAAAAAAAAAAAAAAAAAAAAAAAAAAAAAAATACACACACACGCACACACACA